GCGATCCATTTTTTAGAAAACAACTTCCATTATCCTGTTTTTCACTTTCTGAATTTTATAATTTCAAGGTGTGTGCGTAGCATGGAAAACTTCAATTTTATGTGTATAGAATTTCTTAAAAAACTGATTTCCGTCTTAGAAAAATTAGAAATGTGCCCTCACTAATAAAGAATAAGATACACTTTAAGCAGTAGATTTCAAAGGAAAAAATGTTTTTGCCATAGTAACGTTTAGAAAGTGAATATACCTATGTGCTTGATAGAATTAAAACACACATGCCCTTATGTTACTGATGTTGTTGCTAGGGATGACTATTGAGACAGGTGCTTGTGGGAGACTCATGGGATGAGGGGGAGCATACCCACCCCGTATACCACCTTAATATATATATATATATATATATATATATTATTGATACTAATAGTATATACTAATAATTATATATTTATATTAATATAAATTATTGATTAATTATACTAATATATTTATACTAATTACTAATTATACTTTTTACTAACTATACATTTATTCTAAGAGAGTCTTTTTTTAACTATTGAGAGTAATTTTTTTAATAGTGTAAGTGAAAGAGCTCAAACCTAATACCTTTTATTTACACTTCTTCTCCACGAATCACCCAATCCATCCCACCCCAAAAAAGAGGGAGAGAGTTGAACTACTATTTCTTCAGCAAGAATTTGCCAAAAAAGAATGGCACTACCATCATTCGTTCTGGTTTCCTATCTTAATGGCGAACTTATTCCGCTGGATATGTTTCAATGGTCTTCCATTATAGCCTAAAGAACAACGGCCATGTAGCCATATATACTGCAAAGGCATAAGAATCCTTAAGCAGTACGCTATGTTCTGAATAAAAGAGTTGCAGCATTTTACATTTCTTTCCATATCTTTTGGAGATAAAGCTGCCAAGAGAGTGTGAGATTATAGCCTTATAGGTCATTTCGTTGTGGTGATGTGTCAACAAACAGAACTTGCAATAATATCTTAGACAAGTCAAGAATTTGCTGCATTTCTCTCAAATTCCTGTGATTCTTTAGATTATTTAGGAGATATTTAAACTTGTAAATCACAAATTATTGTAGTGTTTAAAATATATTTTAATAATTGGTGAGTTGTAAATCCAAACACCTGTTAAACAATCTAGACAATAGAGTAATTTTTGTGAATTTTAAATTTTTGATCAAGTTCCTCAATCCAAATGCACTAATGAATGTTAAGTTCGAGTATACTATCTTGGAGAACATAGATCTGAAGAAGGATTGATCTAACAAAGAGCATCCACAAGCAAATCCAAAGGAAAATCAGGGAAGGCTTCCAAAAAAATCCTCCGTAAAGGAGATCAACAGTTTCTATCTTTGATTCTTTCACCTTTCCTCCTAAGTGTATTAATCAGGGAGGGTTTTTAGAATCTTTCCCACCATCAAGTTTAGAATTTGAATCTTTTGCTTGGCAGTTGGTGGTGAGAAAGCTGAGGGGACGGGTGAGAGGGTAAAAAAATCCTGTCACCAATTCCTCTTAGAGTGTATTAAAAGATTTTCTTCAGTTCGCATGTTCAGTTGAACTGAGGACAGCTTCTACGAAGTGGGATGTCTTCATCCAACTGACAAACTTTGGCACAAGTCATCACTCCTTTGACCATCACTTCTTTTATAGCAGGCAGCCATCCTGCCTGAGTTTCCAAGAATGCTGACAATTGTGCTATAGTGAGGATGCTTGGAATAGGATATCTGCATTTGCCCACTTAAAAAATTCTAGCCTTTTTACAGGGTTTTCCTGGCTCCTTATAACCTGTGAAAAGCTTTTTTGGGGGTTAGAAGCGTTGGCCCTCTAACATAAAATGCTACAACTGAATCTGGAGCAAGTGACGTGCACATTGTTTAGAAGATACAAATATCTCGGTTTTAACTAGAAAAGCACGTGATGCAAAAATATAAGCTTCTGAATTAATTCACCTCGTCATTTTCTGTACTCTACACTAGTGGCTGTTTTTTGGAATTTAAGGAAGTTTTTTCTATTTTTTAATAGAAAATAATACTAATGGATATTTGTCTCAACTTAGGGTATGTTTGGTTACCCAAAGAATTGGGGTTTAGAATTGGAATTGGGTCCCCAATTCTAATTCTCGTGTTTGGATCCTACCTTTCGTATAGAATTAGAATCGAATCGCAATTCCAAATCGATCGAATTCCATGGTTCTAATTCTTTGGCTGGACCAAAGAATTCCAATTCCAATTCCACGGCCAGATTCTCGTTGGGTCAACACGCGGACTTTAAACGGGTCAAAACTAAAAAACGGGTCAGCTATAAAGCTAGATTAAGGAAACAAAGCTAGCTTCTTCCTCTGTCTGCATTAGCAAATCGCCATCTGCTCCAGCGTTCTCTGTCGCCGCCGCCGCTGCGCCTTCTCCTTGTCCCAGCACCTCTGCCGTAACCCCTACAAGACTTTCCCCCCTCTTTTCCTCCCTCTGCCGCAACATCGAGTGGGTGAAATTTACAAATTGAGTTATATTTTGGTCTCCTTTCTTTCGTTTCCTATTAATCTTGAATTGTGCCTCCTGCTTTTACCTTTGCCGCCGCTTCCATTGCCGTCACCACCACCACCGTCGCGTCCTCTCGTCCTCACTCTCCTTCCGCTCCTTCAATTCTCAATTCTCGACAAATTTAGGGTTTATGATGTTATATTCATTTTTAAATTTTTGCCAATCAAAGATTGATTTTTTTTGGTTGTTCCTCTGATAATGTTTGCCATTAATGTTATAAATTTGCTACTGTTTTTTTGCTTCTAATTCAACATTTGGACGAGGATAGAAAAAAAGGAAGCACTCTGTTGCCCTGTTCTTCTAGATTTAACGTAACCAAGCAAAATCTTTTTTGTTTTTGATACAGTAGCAACCAGGTTTTTGTTTGAGATTTTTCCAATAGCTAATTTGGTCTTTTGAATTAATAGCTAGTTTGGCATGATTTGGTCTTTTGGCTTATCTTTTCTTATTGTTGTTGTGATTTTGAATTGCAGAATTTGGATATTGACATGGATAAAGAAGGAGACGAGCAAAAGGCAAAAAAGAAAAAAGTGGGAATGTAAAGGAGACTTGTTAGAAAATGAAATGGGAGACTTGCCTTTGAGCTCTTGCCAAAAGGTGGATCAATGTATGAAGAAACATTGGAGACTTACAAATTTCATGATTAGATCTCTTTGATGCTGGAGAAGTTGCTTCTTGTATTGAATTTCTCAGTTTTAGCTGACGTTAACCACATTAATTCTTCATTCATTTGTCAATGAGCTGAATCCAGAATTATGCACCTTTTGTTGTTCTGCATCAGGGGCCTCTCCGTACTTTATTAGTTGAGGCAATCTGTCCTTACAGCGAAATTCTGCGCACCAGTCCCTACTGCAGGAAGATCTTCTCACGCAATCTTCTGAAGAAGTGATGTTGGAAATGGTGGTCAACTGCTGTGGTTTTTAGAAAAAATGCTACCAACTTTGTGAATAAGTGTTAAATCTCTTTTTGGTGTGGCCTTATGTATATTACCTGACCTCGTTTCCTTCATGTTCAAGTGTGGTGACAACTTCTACCTTAGTCTGAGAGAAACTTGTGACTCTTTCTTATGTTGTAGTGTTACTTGTCAAATACTTTACATAGGAGATAATGCAGGCAACGAAGCTTCTGTTGTTACCTGTTCTGTATTTCTTTGGATAATGTTTTTTCCTTGCATATAGTAAAGGAGCCTTATTTTGACTTTAAAGTAGCACGTGAAATATATCTAAGCGTCTTTATTATGGAAACAACAGAGTTTATGTAGAGCAACTTCGACTCAATAAACATTGTTTTACTGTTTTATGTACAAATTTAAGTGAGCATTGTGGGTTGAGGGATATTATAAATATTACAGTTGAAGAAGCAGTTGCAATGTTTCTCTATGTTCTTGCTCATAACTTTAATAATCGCACTGTCAATTTTAATTTCATAAGATCAGGTGAGACAGTTAGTTGATACTTTAATATAGAGTAGGTTTTTAATTTTCTAAAATTTAAAGTTCCTAACTTAGAAAAAAATATCAAGGTTTTAACTTGATAAATATGTACTTTTTAAGCTAGAATATGTAATTAGTTTTTATTTAATATAATTTAATTAAGAATTTTTTTTTAGAAAAGGAACTAATTAGCTTTTTCTTTAAAACTTTAGTAACAATTAGTTAAATGCAAGAAAAAATAAATTATTAAAGGCACTAATTGGTTTTTTCCTTGAAGTTTTAGTAACAATTAGCTAAATGTTAAAAATTTATTACAGAGGAAAAAGAAAAAAGAAAAATTTTATGTAAGCAAATGTTAGATGAAAACAACTATAATTCTTAATGAATTCTTCTCCCGTCCAAACAAAGAATTTGGGATTCGAAATGAATTCTGTATCAATTCTATGCATTTCTCAAACAAAAGAATTACAATGTTTTGGAATTCCAATTCATAGTATTCTAATTCTATAGAATTTCAATTCCAATTCAATTCCAATTCTGTAAAATCAAACGCACCCTTACTGTAATTAACAATAACATTTATTCTCCTCATTCACTCGTTCTCTCTACATTAAAAAAAAAGCACAGATTTATCAAATATATACACATAATTACTTTTGCTTAATATTCAAATAATGTCAAATGATAATGACGTGATTTCTTTTAACTAAAGGAAACTCTTCACAAACCTTATCAAATTTTGCATCTAAAATTTTTATGAAAAAAAAATTAACATATTCATCAGTTTATGGGATTAAATACAGTTAGATGAACAATTAAATTAATAACGCTTGACCCAATCATTTCTCTGGGACCAATGAACGAGTATGATTCAAAATCTTGTTTGTAGCTGGAAAACAATCAACTAGATTAAATTACAACAGGACAGTAATCTTCAGTTTTAAGTACCAAAACAAAATTATTGTTGATATCAAGACTGCCCATTGGCATTTAACTTAAACATAATTAAGTAGTGCTAAGATTCGCCACATATTTTATTTCCAATTGAATATCAAGTCCAATAAAACAGATATAATAACATCATATAACTATCACTAAACCAACTACCTTTAACGTAGTTAGATGAACTACCTTCAGGTATAATGTACAGAGTGGACAGTGGAATAAGATACGACTAGCACTTCAAGCAACTAGTGAAATTGATGAAAACAAGCACAAGAATGTATACACATAGAGCAACTATTCACTTTGTACCATGACAATAACGAAGATTAAGCAGAATTACCAAGGGCTCTCAATTCTAGATTGAAGACTGTTGAACAACCTAGAATTTTTTCCATTGGCATTCAAAACATACAGAACAAATCATGTTCAATCTAGTTGTTTTTCCTTTTTTCCCCCTCCTCCCGCCTTAAAGACCAATATCAGCAGAAGTCCAAGGGAAAGACTGGTCAAACTAAGAGGTCTGGAGATGTAGGCTTGACAGTGGCAAAACTAATTGTTCCATAGCAACCAAGTTTTGGTTCCTCAGCTATCTAAAATAAAAGGGGAAAAAGGGACTAAGTACAGAAAAGAAATATACGAACCAGATCAATTCATAGCACACACAACACAACTTTGGCAGAAGATTAGGCCATAAATTTCAAATCCTCGAGCAGAACCTTCAATTTTCTCTGAAAAAAAAAAAATGGCAACTTCAGTTTTTTTCTAGATACTCGAATAAGCTAACACCATCTTTCACAATTGACATGGCAACTAGATGAAGGAAATGAAACTGAACTTCATAAGTTTTGGGCCTACACGTCTCAGCAGCAGACCTGTAGGCTTCAGATCAAGTTCAAAATACCTTTTCAATACACCTTGTCCCCATTTGCTGGTTTTTTTGAAAGAAGGCACTTGCTGCTAGAACATTCAACTTCACTCTGTCTCATGCATCTTCTGTTAAATAAAGTCACAACAAATCCTCCCAAATTTCCCAAGCAACTCTGGTACCATGAGAATATGTGTCAAGAATGTCAACAATATCAATACTAGCAGTTTCCTTGATCTTCTGGAACTTGTATAGTTAATAACCACGGACATCATCACACGGGCAGAGCCAGCAGAAGTTTCAAAACTTTAGTAAAATTCAATGAATGGAATGTTGAAATAAGATATTATCATTTTCAGCAAAGAAGTGCATCTAATCACAATGAGTACACAGAGATGAAAACAGAAAAGGCAAACTGTTTACACAATGAAACTATCCAGGATTAATTAGATTCACCAAAAGGACATGGGTTGTAGCTTGTAGACTTTTCCTCAAGCTTACCTAAGACCATTATGGCATTCTAGCAAGTTGTGATTGGTAGCCAAAACACACAGAACAAATGCAGGATCAATTTTCATTTGTCCTCGAAAAATTATTAGCAATCATCTGAGTGAAACACTGAACCAAACATTGAGGCAACTTAATTAGTTTAATCAAACACTAACCAATTCATAAGTATGTTTGGTAACTGAGCAATCTTAGAATTAAAACATGAATGAGGCAAAAAAAAATTAAAAAGTAATGAACAGACTTAACAATGACCTAAGAACTAGATCAATTCATGTGAAAAGGGTGAACTTATGTGGAACATCATAGTTAATTCCATTTTGGCCACACTCATCACAAGCCTTTCAGTACACCAAAATAGAAATTCCGTTTGAAGAAACTTGAATAGACTGATATTTTATTTCACAATTAAAATGCAAGCTAGACGAACAAGGTGACCTTTTTGTTTTCAAAAGAATGGGAAGGGCAACGCAGGAAGGAGGTATGGTTTGGGGGAAGAATTGAGCTCACATGGGCCATATCCAATTAGACAAACATTAAAAAGGTGCAGGGAGGGCTTTTTGTTCAACTTCCACAGATCCAACTACCACATCTTGTTCCTCAATGCCAGTCATTTTCAAAAGAACCTAAGTAATTAACTCTATCACAAATTAATCATTCAAGACTCTGGCTTCTTCAGTGGCATGACCTTGATGCAGCACAAACACTTGGCAGTCGCAAAGAATTGATGGGATATGATATCTACACAGTTGATAATGCGGTCCAAGCAGGTCTTAGACTTGAAAAGAGCCTGCGACAGCCACTAATTAAGAGGTTCAATACTCAAGGCAGGGAGGTAGTTCCTAAAAGATTTGCTGCAAATGGCAAGCCATATAAATCAGCAGCAACTCAAGTAACTTCCAAGCCTGCAGAGACAAAAACTAAGGCTTCCACAATCGATGAACAAAACAAGAACAAAGATGGATGTTTCAAGTATGGTTTGAAGGGACACATGGCATGGGAGTGCCCGAACAAAAACTTGCTCATTGACGCTGCAACTTGGAATAGGATGAGAAAATATGCTCAAGGAGATGAAAATCTTAGTAGTAATTCTAGGAATCACTCCTAGGAGTCTCATCCCATGCTCAAGGAGATGAAAATCTTAGTAGTAATTCTAGGAATCACTCCTAGGAGTCTCATCCTATTCCAAGCGTATTTTCTCATCCTATTCCAAGTTGCTATTTTAAATTCGGCTGAAATTCAATATCTGGGCTTTTCTACCAAGCTATTGTGCCTACCAAGTGTTTGTGCTGCGTCAGACCTGAAGAATCTTCCTAATTAATCCAAGCAAGCAACTTTAGTTCTACAAGAATTTCTGTCAAGAACATAAATGGTCCTATATTTGCAATGCCTATGTATGTCAAGATTAGAAGTTATCTCATAATACCAATATCTTTTATTGAGTACCCAGGTATCCCATTTTTTAAATATATAAAACAAGGACTGTGCTTTTCTATACAGTACACTTGATGAGACAATGCTTCTTTTTGTGGGAGAAGCAACCGGGCGGGGGGGGGGGGGGATGGGACTTCCAGCACCTGCAAAGATTGCCACATAGAAAAACATGCAAACTCGCCTGAATTAACTTCAAGAAGGGATAAGTGACGAATAATTTAAAAAAAAAATACTCACACAGTAAGCTATGAGAAATCAATATGTTAATTTTCTGTATTTTTTCTAGTTTGACTCTTCTGCAGAAAAAACTTTTCAAAAGACATACTAACATGGGATCCAAGTACAGATTCAGGTGGGTTAAACAACAACCAATGTAACAGAAAAACAAGCCAGAGACAGCTGACTAGTATTACATCCAAAGTAGAGATCCAGATAGATCTTTTCATCCGTTAGATTATTATTATGCATCTAGAGGCATATCCATTGAGTTTAAAATTAAAAGTCTCCTTAATCTGAGAAAGAAAACATTTTGTCTACCAACATCCATCTTAGAAAATTCTGATGTAAAACATCACAATAGGCTGAAGCAAATTAGCTTATGGTTGACTGTCAAGTCTCACCTGCCCACTGCTGCAACAAAAGATCAACGATGGGTCATTCACTTGTATTACCAAATAGTCTAATTAAACAACATTAATGCCAAGCCTAAGTTCTTTAAGACACAGTGCATGGCTTAGCAGTCTTTCACCATGTTGCGTGTCAAAACTTCTGAAAAAGGTGAATACACTAATAGGCTAATGGCTCAAAAATTTGAATAAGATGCTAAATTAACCAGCTAAGAGAAAAGGAAAATAAAAAGGTCGAATTGGCTGCCATTTATTGTAACACTGGGATATTGCATTTAAATAATATAGCTCATTAGCTCAATCTGTCACGCAATTGGAAGACCTGTAGAGCTGGGAACTTTCCACAACTCTGATGAACTTAAAAGCTAATATAAAACCAAGCATCATAACAAGTAAACAATAAGAACATTTCACAATATATATCATTCTTGGCCAGGTCATATGAGGGCTGGGACAGAGCAAAATTTGTGTGATTAACATCAGGCTAAATGGTTGACTTGACCTCTAGCTGAGCAAGTCACGATGCTGTACCATCCTTGTTCACAACTTATTCAAATCTGCAAAGTCACCTACTAGCATCACAGAATTTATGGGTTTCAAAATTTGATCCTCTATAGGTTTTTTCAGCTAAATTTACAAAGAAGGTAGGGTTTCACAATTTAAATAAATTAAAAAAGATATAGCAAGAATTTCAAGCAATAAGTAAATGTTACAACTTTAAGGAAAGAACTGCAGCCAGGGGTTTCAAATCTTCAAAATATCCCTTTGGTACAACCTGTCGTTCACTGCCTGTCATTTTGGGATAGAGAACTTATGCAGCAACCTAAGGAGTTCTCATTCTAAATCTGGCTTGTTCTGTGAAAATATCTGACAATATCTTCCCACTTATCCAACTGAGTAACTCTTATGCCACTATAATTGCGTCAAAAACCTCGACAACATCATACTTTGCAGTTCTCTAAATTTTCTAGATTACACACCTGCCTAGTAATACCCCAGTCAAGGTACCGCCCATATCTCCCACTTTCTAGGACGTATTGTGAGAGGACTACAATTTTCTTTCTAGAATACTCGATGAGACAACAAGATGCTGACTAAATTTGTGGTTTTTTTTTTTATATGTGGGTGTGTGTTTGTTTTGTGTGTGTGTGTGTGTGTGTGTTCAAAAGATGAATGAAAGACTTTCATTGCTGCTTTGTCGTTAAGCCAAGCAACTCTCAACTTTACTAAAAAGTAATTTACCAGATGAAAGGAATATAGCAAAAGAATGTACTATAAAACTCTAGGCAACATAAAGAAAAATGTAAAAGAGTTTAATGAAGTGATCTTAAGGAACCAGACCTTTACAAATACCAGGTCCCTCGTTCATACAAGTAGCACAAGTAGTATGAAAGATAAAGCATAACCGATAGAGACCAGAATGCTTAACACAATCAGAAGAACATAGAATTGCAAGAAACAGAGCAGACTGCTTAATATACTCACAAGAAAGAAGATTGCAATCATTCATAAAAGATGCAGACTATCATGGTACTGAACAACTCTGGAAAGTAGAACAATTACCACTTGATCACAATACAGTTAGTACATTCTTATCAACATTTTTCATTGAGCCACTTTGCAGATATCTTCATACTCAATGGCCTTAATCACCCTGCCATCATAAATCCCCTTCTCAATCTGCACCTTAGCACAGAACTTATCTGTATCAACAGCTAGCAGCCTAGCATATGACCCACGATAAGCCCCATTAACTATTCTCACAAGTCCTCCAATTTGTGGAATCACAGTCTCAAGCTCTTCTTGATCAATTCTCAAGACATGCTTACTCTCTAGCATCTCAATTTCCCCAACATACTTATCAATCACTTTCTGCACTATGCCTTTCTGCTTATAGTACCCCTTTTCTGCCAGTGCCCTGCTCATTACCTTCACAATAATCCCCTCACACAACCAATAATCCTTCCTATTACTCCTCTCCTTCGCCTTCTCTTCTTCCCTCATCAACTCATCCAACACTGAGCTTCCCATCTTTCCACTGCCTTTATTCCCCTTGTCGCCTTTACTCTCATTCTCCACATCATCAAAAACAACCCTAGAACTCTCCTCCTTCAAATTACTTTTCGACAATGATCCCAAACTTAACTTAATTTTCTCGTTCTCCGATTTCTCAAACAACCTTTTCTCCTGAACTTCCTGTTCATTCCCAGTTGACATCAGCTGCTCGGCACGCTCAATCTGCTTCTTAATCTCCCTCTCCTGCTTCTCCTCCTCTGCTAAATCCGCCCTAATCCTCTTATTCTTCATCTTCTCCTTAAACAAGGTCTCCGAATCACGATCAATATAAGTAATAAACCACCCTTTTGGAGTTTCCTCAACTTTACACTTGCCAGTCCTCCCCAAATACTTAACAAACTCCGTCAAAGTCGCCCACTGAGTTGAATTCATATGAATATGGTAGCGATCGGCGATGTACTCGTTATATACCACAGTGGCGGCGATGCGACTAAAGCGGTGACTACGCTTCATATGTTCGAGAAACGCTTGTTCGAACTCTTCAGAATAGCCATCGATGATTCGATTAGGGTTTTGGCCGAAAACCTGCATCTGTCGCTGGTGTGATTCGCTCATGCAGTGGCACTTGAAGCCATTCTCATCCCGGCATTGCTTTTGGCACATCTGACAATACCATCGGAGTTTTTGTAAGCCTTTCGCTTTGATTCTATTAGCTATTGCCTTTGGCGTCAGGAACTCGTTCTTTCCCATGGCAGCGGATCAAGAATTGATTTCAGTAGGATTGTTTTGACCCCTCTAGTCTGTAGACGGCCACCCTATATATATCTTTTTCCTGCAAATCAAATTTACAAAATATAACCAAGAATTAGTGATCCAAATCCATATCCAATTCACCAAATTGAACATGTTTAATTTGAACATCCTTAATTTGCTTCCAAAGATTGTTAAGCAATTTTGTGGAAGACTTTGTAATACCTACTAAGCTATACTTAGATTGATATGTATTCAGCTGCAATACATAAAGATAAGAGAAAACAAACAAGTAAAAGTCAGTTTAATACATTCTCGCTGCATTACATAATTTGATGGCATCTTTAGCTGCCTGGTTATTCAACAAGAGTCTTCTACATGGTTAGTCAACCATTGAGCTGGCTTAGCATTCTATTTCCGTCCTACCTCAGTTAAGCCAAAAGAGAAAAAGAAGAACAAGAATGCAAAAAAAAAAAAGAAAGTGATAAGTGGATGCTAAATGTCAATCTAGAACACAGATTTCAACTTTCAAGCAGCATAAGTGGTGGTTTTTAACTTCAACGTCTAAAATCTAATTAGTGTCTATTACTCATGCCAAAAATTTTTTTTTTAAAAAAAGTAGTTATCCGGTTTCTGCAATTCCAACTAAAAAGTATAGACTAAAAGTAGCCATCCTGATTTCTGCATAACTCAGGAAGCAACAATGGAGTTACCAAAAGAGGTGCATCCCAAATTTTTCAGTAATTTTGACATTTCCTTAAACACATAGAAAGCAACAACGGAAACATTAATTCAAATAAAAGAATTAAAGAAAAAGTGCCCAATAAAGCTCTTGCACCACGTGTTTTGCTGGTCATTTATGCTTTTCCCTCTCTTCTTATACTTCAATGAATCTGTAGATCAAAACTAGATAGCATTTACCCATCAATGCAATTCTTTCTTTTAAAGGATGCATTTATATAGCACAAGCAAATATATCTTCAAAAAGTAAACATTTTAGCGTGCACCAAATTAGCCAGTTGCAGAACATTAACTTATGTGATTAAACAAAGATCACTCCAACCCTTTTCTTCAACCAACCTTCCCAACTTCTGCAACTCTGCCGGGGACTGGATGGAGAATCGAAGAAGGCAGCAGGAATTGATTCAGAATATATAGGCAGTTAGGTTTGGACTCTTCGGACAAAGTGTAGGAGATGAGACTGGAAATTGGTGGTATAAAGCCTGTACTCTCTAGTAGGAACTTACTTGGAGATTTCAGATGAGCCGTCGGCGACAGCAGCAAAGATCGGTGGCAGCAAGAAGGTGGAAAGGGAGCGACAGATTTTAGAATTTTAGGGCTGGAGTGAAGTGAAGTCTGGGCGAAATTGACGAATTGGGAATTTGGCTTGGGACGACTAGTGAAAGCCTGGAAGGTCAACAAAAGCCAAATAAAAAAAAAAACCCGGTTCTCACTAGGGGTGGGCATGAGTCGGATACCTGCATCCAAACGTGATTTGGCTGAGTTGAGCCTAATTTATCAAGTCACTATTTTTTTGACCCTAATCCGCTCCGCTCGTCTCCGGATACCCAAAAAAAGGGGGGTCATAGGGTACCCGCCCCAATAATTCTTGTTTACCAGTCCAAGGAAAAAGCACATTACAGGTCTTGTTTTTGCCTCCTAATGAACTAGAGTGAGTTGTCAGAAATTTCTTTACATGTGTGATGAATGAAATGAACTTCAAAATATAAACAAGTCCCTTCTCATGCATTGTTAGCTCTGAATTTAGATACACGGTTCAGTTGACACAAATATCACCTTCCAATTAATTACTGAACCAGAATAAGAAAACATAGAGAATAAGTGCCAAATTCAGTTTTGACATAAACAGAAAACAGAAAAGGAAGTGCCAACCAAACCAACTTCAGCAACTATCGGTTCTAGAAACAAATTCCCCCAGCCTAACAACTTTCACAAGCCTACTAAAATTCAAGAAATCATAGGCTAGAAGAGATGCTACATGCTGATGCGAATAACTACAGAAGTACACACCAGTAACCTTTAATTATTTAACAAGCATCAACAAAGTCAATTAGTGCGAGTTCTGCACTTTCCAACTCCACCATTCGAATTCTGCTGGATTTGGTAATTGCTCTAACTTAGTCTCTTGGGATTCGATCCGAGCTCTCTTATTGAATTGCTCATTCAACGAGCATTCTCATGCTATTCCCCCCTTATTTCCTCTGATTTAATCCATTAAAAAATCCATATCTCCTGTCAAGAATCTGGGCATCGCCGATTCACCAAAAATATGTAATCATAAATAAGGAACTTAGGGTTCACTTACTAGGTTGAGGGCTTGCTTTGAAGGTTCGGCGTTCGATTAAGGGTCCGATGTTCTGCAGCTTCTGCTTGAGGGCTTGCTTTGAGGAGCACCAGCAAATCAGAAATGGGTTGTGATTCTCATAATAATTCCAAGACAATCATATATTTGTAGCACGACGTGGTGAAAATTGAAGAGAACTTTGGAATTTTTGTGGTGAAAATTGAAGAGAAGGAGAGGAGACATTCGGCTGAAGAGTGAACTGTGAGTGTTAAGACTGAAGACAAAGAGACTTGGAAAGTGAAAGATTGAGGGTCCGTTTGGTTGGACGGAAAATATTGTCCTAGAGAAGTCATTTTCTTGAAAAATCACTTCCTTCTCCATAATTTTCCAATGTTTGGTTATTTAGTGAAAATATTTTCCAAATTCCTTTTTTCATAATTTTCTGGTGTTTGGTTTGTCAGTAAAAATATTTTTTGACTTCCTTTTTTAGTGTTTATTGATATGTTGCAAATGTTTTTCTATTCTCAAAACATTCATCTCATTACAAGTTATTTTTAGTTTCTATCAATTATAATCATATAGCAAGGTATTTGAAGGATGAACCAAAAGAATAATATGATAGCCCATCTAATGGTCAAGAGCCAATCGCACACAATCTGTGCGCGCGCGTGCGCACAAACACATACGCATACAATCGCACCCAACTACACAAATTCAATAATGGTCAAGAGCCAATCAAATATCATATTTGAAAATTACCGCCAGTACACAAATTCATAAATACACATGTACGAGTAGGCAAGGCAAGTCTAGTGGGTGTGGGGAGGGGGCCGGAGCGTTGGACTTTGAATTGATATTGATATTGGAATGAGGCCAGAACCAATGAGAAAGCAAAGAAGCTGCCACGAGTCCAATACGTAGAGCTGTAAACGAGTCGAATCGAACCAAGTATCTCATATTTGAGCTCTGCTCGTTAATCAATTCGAACAAGGTTTGTGTTTGTTCGTTAACTTTCGATCTCCAAACCTATGTTTATGTTCGGCTCATTAAACAAAGTTCATGTTCTGGTTCGAGTTCATGTTAAGCTCGTTTAACATAAACGAGCTGCTGACGAACATGCTTGGAAAGCTCGAATTCAAATTATTTTAAGTCTTAATTACGCTATACGAATCATTAATCATCCTAAAAAACAATTAAAGCACTAAGTGACTAAATTCTAATATTCATTAACTACATAACCAACATTAACACAAAAACAACAAATAAAACAAAGCAATTTGTCCTCCAAATATAAAAATCCAGCCATAAAATTAACCCTAAAATTTGTCAAATAACAATTATGTCCATGTTCGCAAACGTTCGTCAAAACTCGCGAACATGCTCGTGTTCGCTCGATTATTAATCGAACAAAAAAATTTGTTCGAACTCGGTTCGTTTAAGGTTTCGAACAAGCCTTTCACGAATAGGAACTAACAGCCCTACCAGTACGGGAGGAACTAGAAATAATTAAAGCATTTGGTAAATGAAAACCAAGTGGGGTTAGGGTTTGGAGGACAAACATGAAAGAGAGAGGACTTTGTGGCTGCAAGTTCAAGAATAACCACTCCTTATTTGGTCACAGCCCACACAACAGGCAAAATATCATTCATATGTAGCGTACCATGTGAAGCAACAGTAGAAAATTAAAGTAGACACCTCCGTATCTTGCTTTTTCTAAAGAAAGCATCTACTATATTCTTTCATTTTATCTCTCTCTCTCTCTCTCTCTCTCTCTCTCTTTTACGTGATAGAGATCCCTAATTTGCTGACATCTCCATTGGACGAATTGCATTGGTACCAAATTAATCAACACTGTTTAGGACCACTGGTGACAAGCAGTAGGTTTGCAAAATTTAATGTAATACATATACATGTACTTTATATAGTTAAAAAAAATAGCTCATCTCCTTGGTTACATGGACCTTACTCATTCTCCCCAGTAATATTCCTGTTGGATGAACCAAAGAATAATGTGACAGCCCATCTAATTCTAGCAATCTAGAACTCATTTTCTGTGCACAAAAGATGTAATATTTTGTCAAGTAAAAACTGGTTTAGACCTATATAACAACATGTAGCATGTAGAGTTCTTTTGAAGTTTTAATTACAGCAGGCCTTTGCATCAGAGCAACTATCTATGAAGATAAATCCATTTGGGCATGAAAGCCCCGCGGATAGAAATTAGAACCTGGCTCTGTCCCAGTTTTCCACAATGTGAAAAAAATCTGAAAGCCAGTGTTTCCTGATGTCACTGGAATATCAAGTGCTCTCTCTCTCATTGTTTGTCCTAGTCTAAAAGTTCTAGACTTATTATTTTCAATGTCTAAACAAAGTGCCTTTAGATTTACATGCTTCTAAAATTAGGGACATAAACAAAAATTTTTAACTTGAAAATGCCAAATTGGGATCAGAATAAGGTTTTTTCTTGATATTCTAGAAGTTGGAACTTGGCACTTGGAAATAAAGTCAAGTGATGAAGCAAGCAGGATGCATGTGATAAATGATAAGATTAAATGATTTAGGACAGATAGAGATATCATCAGAAACAGGGAAAGGTGCTGCAACATTTCCAAATCATCTAGACGTTTTAGAGAACTGCGAAGCCTATCCTTGACGGTGAATGAAGACTTTGAAATTTGCCAACCAACAAGAACTTCATCAATATATTCTTTGCTCGAGGAAAGGACCAAAGGAATTCATGAGTCTATCTGAAATTAAACACTGATAAGTACTGCTATAAATAAAAGATTTGTGCAGCCCTTATAGAAGCTAGCATTGCTTAACAACCCAAGATATACCCATCAAGTACCTTTTTCTGTTTTGGTGATTTTGTCCCCAGTTCCCCATGATGTATATAGACTATGTCTTGTGTAAGTCCGGTTTTACTTCTGGCCGCATCTTCTTTATTAGAGTACTTAATTGTGGTTTCTGTATTTGCCAAGACAACAAACCTGAGTGATCATTTTACGACAGAGTCACCATTGCCATTCGGTGATTCGCTTGCTGCTATGTCAAAACATTCGTTGATTTGGGACTATATCCAAAGCCTTCTTTGTTTCCACGGTTATATTCCCTTTTCAATCAAGCAGCTATGGCAAGAATGAGCACGTGGCTTCACAAACTCAATGAATTCACTAAAACTTTTACAAATGGTCTCACCAGATTGTAAGAAAAACAATACCCTACCCTACCCGGATTCTGAGCAAGTTAAGAGGGCAGAGACAAAAGTGCCAAGATTAATAATCAGATTCCAAGAATCATAAAACCCCCAAAACTCAGCAGCCAAATTAATTCATTAGCATCAATCAAATCAAATGTAACCCTAATCAGGTAAGAACAAACTAAAACAAAAGCAGCCCACAAAAATTCATTCAAATCCAACTTCAAGAATGTACACCAGTAATTCTAGACAATTTTTCAAAGGGAGGAAAAAAACTAATAAGAGACCATCGTACCTCTGGAAGTACTTAAGGAGTCTTCACCCTTGTTGGAGATGCTGTTGCAGGAACGGGTATGAGATGTCGCTGGAGATGGTTTGCTGAAGAAGGGATTGGTTTGCCGATGAGATGTCGCTGGAGATCGTCTTTTATCACTGCCGAAGAAGGGATTGGTCTTTTATCTATGGTTTTCGGTTGAAGGTTGTGAAAAGAATACTATTTTACGAAAGGAAAATAACTTCACAATGATAAAGGTTTGTTTGGATACCCCATTTTTTTCAAATAATATTTTACTTGTATCATAAATATATTTTCCAACCCACCTTTTTATATTTTCAATTACCTTTTTATTACATATACATCACATCACAAAAAAGTGCTACAGTAATTATTTCAAATAACATTCTATCCAAACACAATTTTCCTTCTTTTGGTGTAACTTATTTTCCATCAGAAATTTTTTTTCCAAATTAGATTATGTCCAAATAGTGGAAAATTTGGAAAACGTTGTCAAGAAAATGTTTTCCATCCAACCAAACAGAGAATGTCGATTGATTTAGGTTTTAGGGTTAGTAACTTAAGGAAATTATAAAATTGTCCCTATATTT